ATAGTGAGACAGCTGGGTCGAGTGAAGAGGCTTTTAAAAGCAGAAGTTTTACTGAATTATTTCTGAATATGCATAATACATGATGCTGGGAGAGCAGCAAGCAAAGTAGAGAGAGGCAGAGAGGGAATGAGGAAAAGAAAAGAAGCATGGAATCACTTTAATCTCCATGTCCCCCCCCAAAAAAAGAAAATCTTTGTAATACATCCTCACGAGTCCTTTTCTTTTGCACCTTCTGCTATAACTTTTATTGTCTGATTTTTCATTTTTTTCCTCAAACCTTTCTTATGATCCTTTCTGTGCAAAAAATTGAGCTGACCTCCAAACAGGCTGATATTATTCAAAACTTTATTATTTCTTAATATATTGTTGTTGCTTATGTTGAAAAGGAAAAACAAAATGATTTTCCTTACATAAATTCACTATTACATTATACTGGAATACCTGATAGTGGCATGGAGGCATGCATTGTTTTGAGGTGTAAAAGAGGTCCAGGATGCTTTAGCAGCAGCCTTCAGCTTTTTCTTCATTGTTGTTTTTTTTGTTTTTTGTCGTTACACTGTCACAAGTACAGCGCAAAGAAATTTACTCTGCATTTAATCCATCCCCTTGGGGAGAAGTGGGCTGCAATCGTAAGATGCCCGGGGAGCAGTGTGGGGTTAAGCGTCTTTTTCGCAGGGAGCCAGAGTGGCAGTCTGTGGTAATGGGTTTTGAACTCACAGCCTCGGGATTCTATGCTTCGTTCTATGCTCTAACTAACCACTGGACCACCATCCCCCTTGTCTCCTGCCTTCTTGACATGACTGCTGAGTTTTCTAGCTGATCAGCATCAGTCATTATATCAGGTATTGGCACTTTTGGCAGAGTGGGCAGTTGTTGGATTTAGCTGGAAATATAATCAGGTTCTCCTTAAAGCTTGTCAGAACAGGGAGGCATGCAACATTTCCAAACAGAGGTGATTTGCGGTTTGTAAAAAAATAAAAATAAAAAATTTCAGTAGACAAACCAAAGCAGAAGACATGACCCACCAAATCAAACCTGGATTCTGGGCCTCTCTCTCTCTCTCTTTCAAAAGGTTCTGGCTTTCAAATCAAATACTAACTTTGATTAGAAAATAGGGTTTTTAAACTACTAAGCAACAGTGCTACCATTTTTCTTCTCCATCCATTAGATATTGCTGAGGTTATTTTTGGTTCTGGAGAGGATTCATTTAAAAGACATGCAACAATTTTCGCTCTCACTCACGGTGCATTTTTGCGAGGTAGCTCTCAAAGCATTGACTCATCCTACAGTCCATGTCCACACTTTTAAAGTACCTTTGCTTCACAATCCTCTCTAGATTGCTGTAATTCTTATTAAACTTTTTATGCACCGCATTTTATTCTCTTTCTACCTGACCTTGCATTAATATGTTTGAATCCATCAGCCTGAGAGATGTCAGCTTCTTTGGCAATGACTCTCTGTGAATAGCTCCCCTTGTGCCCTACCTGTGAGATCATCCATATAGAACCTCTAGCATCATAGAATTAAAAATGTAAAATGATCACATTAAAAAATAACTAAATATTGTTTGTTTTCTTTGTGCGATTTCTGTCTATAATTCCTCACATTTAAACAAATTATATTCAGAATTTAGCTCATGCACGGCTGCACTGGACTCTGCCCAGACATGCTCAACAGGACTTGATTTGCACCCTCAGGTTATAAATGGAGTCACATTATCTCAGTTTACTGCTCAAGTCACATCTGATGATGTAACATTAAATGCTTTACCCGCCATTGTGTGGCTCTTTGCTGGGCTGACCATAGAAAGGGCAGCAGATGCATAGAGAATGTGTCCAGAAATGGACAACATAGTGTGTGCTTTCTAATGCACTGAATCCAAACAAACAGAGCCAAGAGGATTTTTATTTCCCTTCTTCGTAATTGTCTTAAAATCAATACATTAGAAGAATGAAAGTGAGGAGATGGAAAAGCATGTTTGAATCTTTGATGAAGGGTAATACTGTGAAATTATAGATGAGTATAAACTGATGTGTTAGTTTCCTTGGTGTATTAGGTGAGTGAAAACAAACTAAATGAACCATTATAATGTTTTAGACAGAATTTCATACATGTTTGACTTGTTTTATTGGATTAGGAAGATTGTTTTTCGCTTACAGAGACATGGAGAATGTTGTTTATAATGATTTGTGAAACACCTTGAATTAAAAGAATATTTTATTGTAGCATCAATATTTCAAAGCGATACATTTAGTAAATTGTAACATGTAATCCGACTGTATCTACTCAGTTTGGAAAGTAAGAAAGTTTAGTCTTATTCTCATCCTATAAATACACAGCTCGAAATAAAATGGTAAACGGTCACTTCTTGTTTGCTTTCACTTCCTAAAATAAGATCTGCATTTACGCTGAATTAAAAAACGATTTTATATCCAAACAAAATGGATATAAAAGTGTATTTTTCATTTCATTTCAAAAAGTTTATTTCAAACCTGCACACATTTTACAATGCATATAATGACAAACAATACTATATGCATGGCTTGAAAAGGGGATGGAAGAAGCAAAAGCTTATTTTTCAAAAGATTATTTCATTTTTAAGAGGGAAAGCTGTCTAAACCATTTGACCTTGTGTAAAAAACTGTTACTCTCTTTTGCCAAATCATGAGATAACTGTCATCAGTCACTTTTCTTGTATGACTTCAATTGCTGTAGGTATCTACAGTCTGAAAAGAACAACAAAAACATTTCTGAGAAGGGTCATAAACCACAAATTGTATTTTGGCAGTGCATCTAGGAGGTAACAATAAAGATTTAAAGAACCTCCAGAGCAGCAGGCCTCAGTCCATCTGTGCTTTGTCTATGCATCCTTATCCTTGCAGGGTTAGTGCCTGGTGCCTTTCTCTAGTTGTCTTAGGGACTAAATGAGAGGTGAGGGAAACTTCCCAGACAGGTTATCAGTTCTTCACTCTGTAAAGGTCAGTGTTAATGATTCAACAATAATAAAGAGTCTGTGTAAAATGGCACCAAGGGAAGGAAACAAAAAAGGACGGTCAAGAGATTTGGAAAAAAAAATGTTGATGGGACAAAAGTAGAAGTTTTGAGAAGGGTCATCTTCTGTTAGATCTGTCTTAAAACTAACAAGGAATTTTAAGAAAGAAACAAATAACAAGCAGAGAGTCAATCATGTTGGTTCTAAGTAGGAACCTGCTCAGGTGATCACCTGGATGACTTCTCATAATTAATGGAACCCCCCCCCCCCCGACCAAGGAAAAAAAAGTGGTTGAAAAGACTTTGAATAGATGACATGATTTACGTCCAAATGATGCTTACGTTTGGTTGAAAAGTGAAAGATGAAATATGGTCAGCAGCACCAAATTCCTGGGGGTGCACAACACAGACAACCTCACCTGGACTGTAAAAACTACCTCACTGGTCAAAAGGGCACAAAAGCGAATGCCCTTCCTGCGGAGGATGAGGAGAGCCCACCTGCCCCCACCCATTCTCACCACCTTCTACAGAAGCACCATAGAGAGCGTTCTGACCCGCTGCTTCACTGTGTGGTGTGGAGGCTGCAGTGACTCAGACTGGAAGAATGCGAGAAGAGTGGTGAGAACTGCAGGGAAGATCATCAGGGCTCCTCTTCCCGCCACTAAAGACATTTCATCCCAGCGCTGATGGTCCCGAGCTTGTAACATCATAAATGACCCTTCACAACCTCACCATGGACAGTTCTCTCTGCTGCCCTCTGGGAAGAGACGTTTGCAGCATTCAATGCAGGTCCAGCAGATTCTGCAACAGTTTCTTCCCCATCAGACTACTGAATGTTGAAAAAAATTAAAAACTGAAAAAAGAGAAAAACAAAAAAAAACCCTGAATGTTGAAAAAAACTCTAAATCATGACACAGTGTCTGCAGCAAAATGACCTTATCAATGCGGTTTTTTTTTGCACCATACCCCCCCCCCCCCCCCATATATATATATTTATAACTATATATATAACTATATATTTGATCACTGCTGCACTTTAAGAAATGGAAATGTCATGAGAGCTACTGTATACGTAACGATAGTTCGTTTTGTGTAGCTCTCTGTGTATAACAAATTTACAATAAAGTTATTTTAAGTCTAAGAAAAGCTGTAATTTTGACCTTCAGCTCAAGTACACCTAGATGAATCTATGTCTGAAAGGCTTAAAGAAAAGTAAAAACTTAAGACTTAAATCTAGTTTAGATACTGGGTCTGGAAATTGAACACTGGTTAAAAGCAGAGACAGAAGAACATGTTAGGGGCCAAACTCTTTGTCCCCCATTTTTTTTTAAATCAACAGCTAAATCACCATATCTTCACTACATCTAACATTTTACAGTGAGGCTACTGAAAGGAAATGCTACAAAAAATTTAGTTATCCTGTTGGTAACACGACTTTGTTTCTTTGCTACAGAAATAGAGAGACTTGGTGATCCAAATGCTTGAGAATTAAAACCGAGACTCTGGATAAATCAGAAAAAAAAGATTTAATAAAATTAACAAGCAAATAATAACAACAATAATAATAATATTAGTAATAACAATAGTCCCAAAATAGAATTTTTGCTGCCAAGAATACTAAAGGCTGCATGGAAGAAAAAAAAGACTTTAAACGTATTCTTTTACAACTATATCTTTTAGGCGTTGTTGTGCTCCCTCTACTGGACAAAAGGTAACTATCCAAAAGTGGATTTTACTTTTAAACCATCTGATAAAAATGCTATCACTCCAAAAAGTAAAAATGCTGATGCTAAAGTAAAAATGATTCTTGTTTCTTCAGATTTCCTCTGGAGAATCCAGATAGACTGGCTTTAGAACTGAGAATGCGCGCGCATCGCCTGCTGCATTTAATTGTGTCCATTCTTGCACGCGCATGCTGGACACGCGTCTGTGCGCCGACTGCGATTGCGCTTTTTGCACAGTGTTGAATTTGTCCCGTGGATGTATATGAAAAGGGAAGCGCTCCCCTCCTTTGCTGTTTTTTTTTTTTTTTTTTTTTTTGCATGCGCTGCAAAAGTGTTTCAGAACGCGAGGCGGTGCACAAGCAAGGCGTTGGTGAGTGAAACTGTTTTTTAAGAGGAAAAAAAAAAGAGAGAATCAAAGTACAAGGTGGCAAACAAAACACCGGAGCAGTGTGTCTCTACTAGATGTGTTTTTCATTGTTTTTGGAGCGCACGCCCCTTTGAGAGCCAGGAGCGGAGGAGGTCTGTTATTATTCCAGTTGATCCTGAGCAGCCCAGCTCCAGACGCTGCTGCGCGCTGCCCCGGACCACAGCTAATCGACTGCGCTCATAAAGGAATGGGTTGTTTTTACGCTGAAGGGGACGGAGCTCTGCTCTAGGTCCGCTGGATCATGTCAGGGGTACACGCTTCAGATACGGGACATTTTTTGGATCCTGCCATCAGCGCGCCGCAAGCTCAGGGCGCGACCAACGCGGCGGTGATCGGCGGCGACGGGGCCGCGCTGCCTCCCACCGCTTCTCAGTCATACTTGGAGGTGTCCAGGGCTGCCCAAGGCTATGCGGCCGAAGGAGTGTACACCAATGGACGGTACAGGGATCAGAGCAGCCCACGGATCGGGAGTGGCAGTCGTGATAATTCCGCGGAGAGAATCCAGGGAGCTGGAAACGCACCTTGTGGCATAATGAAGGTTAGTGATTAAAGCTTATCTCCACTGTCAGTGATCTCCAAGGTTACACGAAGGAAATCTGTCTCAGGTCAGCATCGTAGTCTGTTTTGGAGAGTTTTGGAGAGGTTGTTTATTTAAAAAAATAAATAAATAGGGCAATTACAGCACTTAAGGTTTTTCAACTCTGAAAATAAGTTATTTTTCAGGAACATGTAAAGCATGCAACCAATTTGCATTTATTAGCTTAAAGAAAATGTAAAAGTTTAGGTTTCTGCAAAACTTCATAGCTGTTACTTTTATCCATTTTTTTGCAGCATAGTTTCAAAACCTGGTGAATTTAGTTTATGTTTTTTTTCTGGTTTTGCAGAAAAAAAAGGTAAATGCATTCAAGAAAGCCTTTTTAAAATGGGTTTGGTCTGTAATAATGTGCAAATGAAAATGTAATCTGCTCTACCTTTAGCCCAGGGGTAATCTAAGTTTTTAATTGAGTGAGCTGCAGAATACCCTGACATCTTTTTAAGGCTCTTGATGCTGATGTGGAATTTGGCCTCTTTTCAAACTTTTTTCTGAATATAACACTCACTTCTAAGTCTGGAGCAGATGATCTTTCTCCTTTTAGCCCTGTCAGTAATAGATGATGATATTATTTTTAATGGCAGCCCTGCCCTAATTAGTGCTTTCATTATTAGAGGTTAATTAACTGGTCTTCCGCAAACCACTGGCAAGACACCAAGGTTATTTTTTCATAATTTAAGATCACATTATACATTCAGCCCTAACTGTGCAGACTTTAGTTATATCAGTTTAGTTTTCATGGAAACTGAGATAACATGTTTTTTTTTTTCTAATTGAATACATGCATGGGAAGAATACACACCCCTCCTTTTAAACCATGGCATGTGCATCCTATCATTAAAGCAGCTATTGATTAATAAAATATAGTTTAAAACTTTTTTTTTTTTACTTTTTTTTTTAGCCATTAATTTTATTTGGAATTTTAAAAAAATCTGGAGGGTTTTTATTTATCTTGATATTATGTATCTTCAGAAGTCACCTAAAAGTCTGTGTAGATGATATTATCTCGATTTAATACCAGCTCATCTCTGAAGACTTTTGAGGTTTGTTAGATTGCATGCCAAAAAAGAAGAAAAAAAAAAAAGCATTGTGAAAACCAGGAAACACAGCTGACAGGTCGGGGTAAAGTTGTGAGAAGGTAAAGCAGTTTAGATAATCATAACCTTAGGTTTGAACGTCACACAGAGCGCTGTTCAATCATTTTTATCATCGGAAAACTTCTAGCTGCCAAACTAAACCGAGGAGAGCTTTGGAGCTGCACCAATCCACTGCTGAAGTGGGAATATCTTTAGACTGTAGTGGGACCCAATGAAAACTTTTAATTTGGTAATCTCAAGGTGTGTAATTAATTAGTTAATTATTTGCAATTAATTGTTTCATTAAAATAAAATGTGTATTGTCCTTTTAATGCAAACCTTTTTGGCTCCTAAACATTTGAATGTATAAATATTAGAAACACAAATATTGATTGTTTTTCATCCATTATTCAGGCTCTTCAACCATTAGATTGGTTGATGGTTATGATTTTGTAGCATTTTATTTTAGAAACTCCTGATTTTTTTATGCAACTTCTTTTAAGAGCCACTTCTTTAGTAGCGTGAACAATACATCACATAAATTATAGAACAATTCCTTCCAATAAATATGGTTAAAATATTGCAACTATGCTTGCAAGACTGACTTAAAGAGTTTAAAGTTTGCTGTAAACAGATTTTTATTACTGAGAACAGAAGTATGACAGTTGAGCTGTGCATAAAGCATTGCCTTTCAGAGCTCAACATTTGCTATTCAACATGCAACATTTAGTGTAATCCAAACATAGATACCACTGACGCTACTTCTTCTCCTTATGCCAGTTATTAAGACAAACAATCCATGTTGCAGCCCACTTTACCGGGGAGTTGTTCAGCTTTTCAGACATGAACTTACTATGTTGGATCTGAAGCTCGTCATCTGATTCGATGTGTGAAGCAATTAGCGTTGTGAAGGTTTCTGCAACCGCAACTTAAGTTGCACTTGGATGGTGTATAAGCTGGAAAAGCCCCAGTGGACCAATGCTTGTGATACGGCTTGTATATCGGATTCACGATTGTACAAAAAAACAGCAAATACAAATGCCCCCCTTGGGACTTTAGTATGTAAAATGAGAGAGAGAAAAAAAAAAAAATATATATATATATATAATTTAACTTCTGAAAGTAGAAATAGAATATGTCTAGTTAGTTTGTAAGTAAAATATGTACTTTACTGCCTAATATTGGTCATACATTCAAATCTTCATCAGATTGACCTGATTTTTCGCCTCAACACTATGCACAAACATTAGCTTTAACAGGTGCAGACTGATTGAGCATTGGACACTCAGTTGGAAAGGTCCATGCATAATTTCAGCACACCTACTCGCATTTCAGTCACACATTGCATGTGTGTTTGAGTAGTGGTCCAAAAGGTGAAGGGGCAGGGATTCATGGGACGAGGTAAGCACACGAGCAATCACAGCAGCCCATTACCTCATTAACATGGCCCTCAACATGCAAATTTTGGAAGACGTGAGTTTGCTTGTTTCTCTCTTTATCTAACATCCGGCTTTGCCTTCTTCTAATGTCCTCAGCAGGGGGAGGGTGTCATGCCAGAGAGACTTTCAAATGGCTAAAGGCGAGGATTTGTAATACATACTTATTATGTAACCTTGGGCTGTGGATAGCTGATCAGCTCCTTCATGGCTCCAGGTGGCAGGGAAGAAAAAGAAGCAGATTGATGGTTATTTTACTATTACTTTACTATGTCTTTTGTCTTCACCCTGGAGTTAGAAACAGAAAAGATGTTAGCAATCAAATCTGGGAAAATGTATTATTTAGATGAATTAGAGAGAAGAGANAAGATGTTGAAAGGCATACAAAAGATGTGAATAACTACCCTGAGGTTTGGCCAAATTAATGCAAAACGAAACAAAAAACCCTCAAAAATGTTAAGATCTTATTATATTAGCTGTTATATAATGAGAATTACTCAATTATTGAATACAATTTTATATATAAAGCACCTTAATCACCTAAACCAAATGGCCGAACACAAAACATAAATATAAAACACATTTCAATTCAGTAAAAATAATTCAAAAAAAGCAATGAGCACTTATTATGTTACTCTTATGAGTAGATACAATTATTTTAGGATTTGGTTTCTTGGTCTTTTTTCTCTTTTCTTTTAATTCGTTGGTGTAATTAGATATTTACAGAATAAAATCTCATAAAATTAAAAACGACATTTTAATAAAGCTGTTAGAATATCTATCTATCTATCTATCTATCTATCTATCTATCTATCTATCTATCTATCTATCTATCTATCTATCTATCTATCTATCTACGCTACATTTAAGGCTAGTTTCACAATTTAAATGAGCAGTTTTAAAGCTGTATTTGTGGGGCTCTGATGGTTCAGTGATGGATTTGTAGTCAATCTTTTGTCATTTTTATCTTCATCACAATAAACAGCGTAAAATATTTGGACATAAAACTAACTCATATCACCAGTTCGACATTCCCTGAAAACCTGAACATTTGCTGATAAGATGGCAAACAACCTCCACGGACTCCTTTCGCTGTGGAGGAGCAGAGACTCTTCTCAAAGCTCCCTGTCTAATGATTGAACTCCCTAACTTATTTGTAATGCTGAGAGTCCAGCCACCCTATGGAGAAATGTGTTGTTTTTAAGTAAAATCCTTATTTGAGAGCTTACTTTTGTTTTAACTCCTGTCTGGTAACAAAATCATTTAATTATATTAACCAATTAAGTTTCACAAAGAATAAAAAGAACATAAAGTAATTTTTTTTCTGTATTTTACGATCATTTGTGTATACATTGAATATTTTAAAGGTATGTGTGAAATTCAAAGCCTCTGTGTCACCAGGACCAGAATGTAGCCGTATGAAATCTGTGTTAAATCGGTGTCTTATATTCCTCCTTTTGCTCCCACTACTTCTGCTTCTAGCTGTTGATTTCCTAATATTCTGTTTGACTCATCACCCCAAGGACACCTCAGTACAAAGTTAAAAAAAGGGATAATCTGGCATGCTTTATATACCTTCCCGCTCATTTTAACACAGTATGTGCAGAAAAAGAGATCCCCACGCTATTGAATAGGATGTGATGTAATGAGGATACAGTAACAACAACGAAAAAAAAAAACTTGGGGTGAAATGCATATCTTTGCTATGAGATTTCAAAGAGCATAAGTGATTCCCACGTCTCCTGGAGCCGCAAGCTGCACTCAACACTCGGATATTTTTGGAGAAACAGAGAACTGCACTGCGTAGAATAAGAGACAGCGGAAGATGTGAAATGGTGATTACAGACATCTAGGGCTGCTGAATCATCGCTCCCTGCCTTGGATGCTTTCCACAAAGCAGCGAAAGACAAACATTTGAAATAGACCTCTTTATATTTCTATTTAACACTTAGCACCAAACAGTTTTCATCTAACTAAAGGTCCCTCGTTCCTCGAGCAATAACAAAGCTCACAAAGCTGGGATTGTATTTGTGAAACAGGAGTAATTAACGCCTCAGTGCTGTCAAGTGAAGCTGCGAGAATGAGTGACTTGTCATGGGAATTTTTTTTCTATTTCTTGAGAGTCTTTATGGAGTTTCCCTATATTCTGTGGTGTTGCATGTTTTTTGTCTTCACTACGCCGGAGTTTTAAAACCAAAGAATAGAAAGGTAGAGCTTCTAACAGGCCTGAGTGTTCAGTTTTCACTGACTGCACTGAGAACAAAAATGGCTTGAGTAAAAATGTTTACCATGTTTGAAAGTCTCCTCTTTACAAACAATTTATTTTAGTCAGAAAAGAAAACATTTATTTGTTTATTAATTTATTTGATTGTCATCCCTGCATGTTTTGAGGGAATTCGGTTTTTCAGTTATTCTTTTGGGAATCTCTAAAAAA